TAACATTTAAGGAAAGAAGAGCTTAGATTGGTACCAGATAAAATAATTTTGTTATCAACATTAATACATTATGCTAATTTTCATCTTTGTAAGCGCATAAGACAGTGCAAACTATTTCTGTGATAGTCTTTTGAAGTGTGTAAAGCTCCATTTTATCCCATACATAGTCAAAATATTGGGGGGGGGGGATGATACAGTGTATCCCCCATCCCCTCGAGTACCTCGCACAGTAACATTTTTTCCCTTAAGGGGCTCTTCGTGTCTGAGCTACCTGGTAAACCAATACCAGCTATTTTCTCGTCCAGGGTCCCATATTAAGATTTTTTCTTAGTGGTCAGCAGGGCAAGTTGGTGTCATATTTTACTTGCCCTTAACAAATTTAACTTGCCCTTACATTTTTTGCAAATCTTGAAGTCCAACGTTTACAGTGAGGGTGTGTATATTTATTTCTTTAAATGTATGTATTGTACTGTATAAAACTACTGTACAAACAAGTAATAATAAGATTGGACAACAAAATCTCTAGCTCGGACATCCATGAATAGTCGGAATAGGACCTGTTTTTCAAAGCCAGTGCATGGCAAGTACGAAATAACTTCGCCAGTTTTTCCGATACATCTTTGTTCATTGCACTTAAAATTCTAAATGCTGGCGTTTGATCTGGGCGCGATTTCGCTGCCACGATCTCACTGTTCCTCAAATGGTTAACTGACGTCTCGTGTATCTTGATGCTTTCGAGGCGAAAAGATGTGCAGCCATTTACAAACACATTCTTAATTTTCTGTGATTGCTTACCACTTCAGCAACAATTAGAAGTGCACTTTAAAAAGTAAACAATCAAATTTAAAAATAATTTACTGAGCTTGCCATCCCAAAACCAGCATCAGTGACCAAAAAATGAAAATATGAATATTCATATTCTCCACTTTATGAATATTCATATTCTCCACTTTATGAATATTCATATTTTCCACAAGCTTTAAGATGATAGTCCATTTAGTGGATACAACTTTTTATTGCCAAAGTTATGAGAAATAGTATTACAGCTTTTCTGTACTAAAGTATACAATACTACCACATTAGGCAGTTTAATACTAAGCTGTTTTTGTAACGTAATTTGATGTAATGTGGTTGGATTTATATATAACGCTTTATATACCGAAGTCTCAAAGTGCTCGAGGTGTGGAGTAGCTCGCACAGTAACTTTTTTTCCCCTAAGGGGCTCTTCGTGTCTGAGCTACCTGGTAAACCAATACCAGCTATTTCTCGTCTGTCCACAACATGAACCAGTACACTGGAGTAACCCCCTACTCGTTTCAAAAGATGTACTGGGCACACAAGTCATTGGGTAAACTAGGCCTACTGTTTATAGTCCTTCCAAGAAGACTTGTTCCAGCACCAGAACTAGGTGAGCATGCCGTTCGAACCAGCGCTGATATTATGCCTGTAGGTTGCGCCATTCCTGCCTAAACCACTCGGCATGCCTCATATAGTAAAAAGTTTACAGTATCCTAGATTTTTCAAATAGCACAGGATTACACTCTTTGTTTTACTGTTATAATTTACTTACAAAATATAAAATATCTGTTTTTCCTATAGGGTTGTTAGTGCTGCAAATTTGGATAATCTGCAGTCTGATGTAACAAACCTGACGACAGTATTTCAGCAACTGCAATTGGATCTGATAAAATGTTGCAAGAATGGAATGAATACAACAGATGGTGTCAATTTGCAGGTATAAACTATTTACTGTACTGTTTTACATATAAATGATAACTCAACCTTAGTTTCGTAAATGAGTTTTGATAGTAATAACCATTTGAATTTTTAACAGGTTTTCATCATGTTTTTAGCACTTTAGTTTATTCACAATTATTCTGATGCTTGTAATAACAATAAAGTATAGCATGATAATCCTGCTTGTGACTACAACAGTGTGATTTTATAAATTTTTAGCAATTTAGGTTTTCACATCACTTTGTTATCACTTCAGGTTATTCACAACATAGTGGATATTCTGAGGCGTATTTTATCAGGTCATAATATAATGAACAATTAAATCTGAAATTACAAACCCTCGTCCTGCTGTCGCACCATACCTTTGTATCTGCTGGGACAGCAGTTTAAAAACATTATAAAATCTGCATCTTACTTCTCCAATCCATCCGCCAAACGAGGCCTAGCATAGGCCTCAAGTAGCAAGCCCATCAGTTGAGTTTAAACGCCTTCAGGGCTGCTTCCAGTCTGCTGGCCAGAATTTGACACATGGGCGGTACGCTCAAGTTGGTCAGTGGTCATTTTGCTCGAGTCAGTCTGGCCTAGCCAAATGACTCAGTCAGTCCGCTTGAGTTGGCCCTGTCAGTTGCGACAAAACTATAATTTATTTATTTATTTTATTTCATTAAATCGTCCAACAGGAACTCTTTGTTCCCACCTACAGGCGAAAAATTGCAAAAAACATCAAAAATATAATAAAAACTATAAAATCACAAGATATAAAAATATTATTATTACTATAATTATAATTAATATTGCAATATTTACTATAAATATGTAAATTACTTAAAATTATTTGAAATTACAATTTATATATAAATAAATAATGTTCTAAAATCTATATCTTTCTTCTGATAAGCACCAAAAACGAGGAGGCCCGAGATACATGTAATATTCTCAGTGTGTGAAAGTTTGAGGTTAAACGGTCCAGTAATTTTTTTGAGTATGCTCCCAGAAGGACAAACACAAATGTCACAGACAGACAGACAGACTGACAGACGAAGCACATTGCAGTTGTAATGATAACAAAACACTATAGCTTTTTAAATCTGTTTGTGACTGTTATCAACAATTTGATTTTATGACTTTTTAACAGTTTACTGTAGATTTTCATCAGATTGTTATCACTTTAGGTTATTCACAACATCATGAATATTTTGATGCTTATCAGGTCGTAATAACATAAATGATAACGAAAACTATAGCTTGATAGCCCTATTTGTGACAATATTTTTTCATCACATTGTTAACACTAGGTTATTTACAAGATCGTGAAGATTCTACAATGCTTATTTCATCAGGTTGTGATATAATGAATAACAAAAGCTATAAACCTGTTTGTGACTATATCTAACAATTTGATTTTATCACTTTGTTTCATCACAATGCTATCACTTTAGGTTATTGGCAACATGGTGAATGATATGTTGCTTCTTAATAATGCAGACAAGACTGGTATGGTGGACTTTGCATTAGAATCAGCTGGTGGCAGCATTATCAACACTCGGTGCTCCAAGACATACACCCCGAAGACAGGACTACTTAGCATCTTTGGTTTTCCTTTGTGGTATTCTTCTAGTTCACCAAGAATGGTTATTCAGGTGAGTCCATTAGTTTAATGTATTTTAGTTACTTTTTCCATTGTCACAATATATACCAAATATGTATTTCTGTACAATGGTACAGATTGAAAACGAATTTAAAGCCCCATTCCCGGCAAAATTTCACTAAAAATGACTTTTTTTAGAAAATATGCATTTGCATTACTCCAATTATTATAAATCATGGAAAAATATTGGCATGAATTTTAGTTTTACGCAAAAG